GTTTAAATTCAGGAAAGGTGTATGTCAGGGTTATATCCTTTCACCATACTAATTCAATATGTATGCTGAGCAAATAGTCAGAGAAGCTGGACTATATGAAGAAGAGCATGGAATCAGGATTGGAGGAAGAACAATTAACAACCTGTGATATACAGATGACACAACCTTGTTTGCTGAAAGTGAAGATGACTTGAAGTTCTTACTGATGAAGATCAAGGACTATGGTCTTCAGTATAGATTACACCTCAACATAAAGAAAATGAAAATCCTCATAACTGAACCAATAAGCAACATCATGATAAATGGAGTAAAGCTTGAAATTGTCAAGGATTTCCTTTTACTTGGATCCACAGTCAACACTCATGGAAGCAACAGTTAGGAAATCAGACATCGTATTACACTGGGAAGATCTGCTGGTAAAGGCCTCCTTAAAGTGTTAAGAAGCAAATAAGAAGTGTTAAGAAGAAAATACCAATCCATGGTATTTTCAATCTCCTCATATGCTTGTGAAAGCTGGACAGTGAATAAAGAAGACCAAAGAAGAGTTGATGCCTTTGGGTTGTGTTTGTAAAGAATGTTGAAAATATCATGGACTGCCAGAAGAATGAACAAGTCTGTCCTGGATGAAGTGCTGCCAGAATGCTCCTTAGAAGTGAGAATGGCCAGACTTCATCTCACTTACTTTGGTCATGTTGTCAAAAGGAACAATTCCCTGGAAAAGGTATCATGCTGAGTAAAGTAGAGGGTCAGTGAAGAAGGAGAAGACCCTCAATGAGACGGATTGGCACAGTGGCTGCAATTATGTGCTCAAGCGTAGCAAGGATTGTGAGTATGGTGCAGGACTGGGCAGTGTTTCAGTTCTGTTGTACTTAGGGTTGCTATGAGTTGGAGCCCACTTGACCTCACCTAACAACCACAATAATAACATTTCCAAGCAAGATCACATTCACAGATACAGGGGCAGGAATTCAACACATGTTCTGGAGGACATAATTCAATCCATAACAGGCTATTCTTGTCATTGTCAGCATTTGTGTGTCTCAGTCACAAGGCCTTCTGGGCTTTCCGAGTTGGCTGGATGAAGGCATCATTGTCGCTAAAGGGAGAATTTTGGCAAGAGATGGTTCTTGATTTGGATGGGGTTTGAAATTGGGAGAAGAAATTTGAAGAGGGCCCCATGGCATAACCATGTGGTAGAGTAGAGATCCTTTCTTGCAGACCCTGCAGGAGTGCTTGACAGTTAGGGCATACACACTGTTATGGTTCAGGGTGTAAGGCCAGTAAAACCAAACCAAACTCACTGCCATTGGTTTAATTCTGACTCATAGTGACCAAGCCTATACATCTTTATGAAAGCAGACTGCTTCATCATTCTTCCTCAAAGAGGCTGATGTGTTTGAACCATTGACCTTTCAGTTAGCAGCCAAATACCTTAACCACCATACCATCAGATGTCCTTGTAAAGCCATTAAAAAAACAAAACAACAAAACAACAACGACAAAAAAACACCTCACTGCCATCGAGTCAATTCTAACTCATAGTGACACTAACTGGGTTTCCAAGGCTGCAAATCTTTATGGAAGCAGACTTACCCATCTTTCTTCTGTGGAGTAGCTGGTGAGTTTGAACCACTGACCTTTCATTTTTCAGGCAAATGCCTTAACCACTACACCACCAGAGCTCCTTTGTAAAGCCACTAGTGGGCTCTAATGCAGGATACAAAGAGGAGCAGAAAAGAGGGCAAAGGAGACTGCAGGGTATAGCTTGGGGGAGACTGGAGAGGAAATGTGCAGTCTTGGATTGAGGACATCTCTGCATCACTAGGGATGTTGCATCTGGGGATCTTCCCTCCCACTCCTGAGGGTTCCCCTATCAGAAGAAAGCCACACAGTCTGGTAAGCCTACCACAGGCCACTTACTCACTCATGCAAACTCCTCCCAATACACAGACTTCCCACCCACCCAAGAATGGCATGCAGGAGCCCTAGCCAGGTATGCTCCTTACCTGTTTGATTTACATCCCATTTACCCAACTCTCCTCTCTGTTTCCTGGCACTTGGTCACATCTTGCTCTTTAGAAGCAAAGATAAAGTTTCAACAGCTACCATTTGGAAGATGAGCCCAGAGGTCAAAATTACCTCCTTCTTGTGGGTGGCACCTGACCCCAAAATGCATCCATTTTCCATGGCTTTATTTGGATGCTAGAAGGCCTGAGAAGAAGGATGGGTGGAGAACATGCTCTCACTTCAATATCAAAGGAAGAATCCACTAGGCCATCATCTGGAGGAAACTTGACCCAAAGACCTCTGACTGACTTTTTTTAACCCAAACTCCATAATTACCAGTGAAACTCACCCTGATAGCAAGTTTTGGTGAGAAAACAGCTGAAAGCACTGGTGTCAGAAGGAGAGTAGAGGTACCTTGTGGGAGAAGAGGATGGGGGACCCACAGGCACTACTGATGCGTTTCACTTGCCTTAGTACAGCCTCCTTCCTCCTGTGATCCCAGGCTTTTTTGTCCATGTGTGTTTGGAAGTGTGAGGTGCATACTTGGCCATGTGGGGGTGTGGGCTGTAGTGAATGTCTATATCTGTGTAAGACATGGTGTGAACTCAGTCTGGTCTCAGTACATTTCCTTGACCCACCACAGTCACTTTTTAGTTTCTTTCCCCACCTCCTTGGAATAATGGTTAGCACATACATCCTTGGCTCTTTGACCAGAGTTCTGGCCATTGTTTTCCTATGTTTCCTATGCATGGGCCATCCTAATCTCTTTTGTACCATCTGATGCCAGAGAACCCACTGAGACTCCTGTCTAGGAAATTTCACACTCATTCTTTTTCTCCAAGCCTCCAGGGCAAGCACAAAGTGACCAGCACCCTCCTCACAAGTCAGGGCTGAACTAGTACTGAAAACTACAATGGACAGGGAGACCAGGGGCTTAGGAGGGATACCTTGGCTATAGCCACAGGCTAGGGGAGAATTCCCTTCCAGGTAGTAATACAAACCCTCACACAGCAGGCAGAGGACAGTAGGGAGATTTGTGTATGGCAGCCAGTGCCTTGACCTAGAAATGGGGGAAAACTGTGGCCAGAATCAGCAAGAGACAGAACCTCAGAGTTGAGAGAGACTGGTGGTAGCAAGGACACCTACCAGCCCAGAGAACCTATCAGCTTTGCAAAACAGCCAGGTACTGGGAAGAGATCACAGTCTTAGGAGGACCAACACCTAGGAAATCATCATATGGGGCAGTTTGATGAGCTCCCTTTTCTACTAGGGTTTCAGAAAGCTGGGTGAGTGGGGCAACAGGCTGACCTACGGGTGACTGTTATGAGGCTGTCCTGTGGAGACAGGGCAGGGGCTGCAGGCTGGTGTCTGATATCCTCTTCAACAAGTCTAGTCCATTTGTCCACGCTGGAAAGTCCACAGTGAGCTATCACCCAGTCTTTGAGCCTCCTGAGGAACTGTCAGACTTTTTGTGCTAGGAAGTCCTGAATGGTGCTTGCTGACAGAGGCAAATTGGGGGCTACTTTATCAAAAACTTCTGGGCCATGAAGGCTGGGTCTTCAAGGCCCTCATGCTGGCTGAGGACTGCAAATACTTCTGCTCAAAGCAAGAAAGATTGTAGGTGATTCCTACTCTACAAATCTAGTGAGAGATGTGCTTAATCCCTGAGTAAAATGGAGACATATTCCCTTTACCTTTCAGGGGTGAACTCTTCCCCAGTGCATGTGAGGTAGGAGCTCTGTCTCTAAATCCAGCTTACATGGTAGCCTTCAGTAGCTGGGTGGAATGTGGGTGCCAAGGACTACATAGAATGTAGACTTTGTGGAGGAGCTGGGAAGCATCAGGTTGTGCTGGGGTTACTTGATGTAGCACACAGGGTTCTGGGAACCACACAGAAAGTGTCAACTCTCTTTTCCTTCTTCAGAAGGGACTTCTCTCCTCATCCCCTCTCTTCCTTGCCTTCCTTCCTCATTTCAAGGAGAACAGACACTGTTTGAAGCACTGTGTACTTTATTCTACCTGGGCATGGCTGGGAGGGGGTAAAGAAGCAGAGGGTTGGGTGAATGACAAAATGTGTAGATAGGTGAGATTCAGGCATGATGCCCAGATGGCAGTCATAAAGGGACTGTGATACACTGAAAAATGGCCTCAGAATGTTTATAATCAAATGTGTGGAAACTGTGACTATGTTACCTTATATGGCAAAAAGGAGTTTGCAGGTGTGATTATGTTAAGGATTTTGAAATAGAGAGATTTTTCTGGATTATCTGAGTGAGCCAAACTATCATGAAGTTCATTATAAGAGAGAAGCCAACGTAAGGAAGAAGCAAAAAGAAGTTTAGATGCTGCAGGCTTTGAGGATGAAGAAGGGAGCCATGAGTGAATGAAGTGAAGGACAGCAGCTCTAAACTCATTGCCATTGAGTCTATGCCTACTCATAATGACTTTATGGATGACAGTTGCTCTAGAATATGGAAAAGGCAAGGAAATGGAATCTCCCCTAGTGCCTCATGAGGGACACTGTCCTGGCACCACTGTGTTTTTCATCTGGTGGAATCCATTCCAGATTTCTGACCTCCAGAACTGTAAGAGAATAAATATGTGTTGTTTTTAGTCACTAAGTTATAGTAATTTGTTATAGCAGCAACAGGAAACTCATACAGGGCTAGGCAAGTAGGCAGAGGGAAAAGCCTGGAAGATGGTTAGACAGGCTAGATATCAGGCAGGTCATTAGGAGTTAGTTAGACAGTCAAGAGATGCAAGTGTAGGAAGGTAGGCAGACAAATGGGGAGGGAACCTGGAAAATGGTGGGCATAGAGAAGGGCAGACAGTTTGGGGAACAGGAGGTAGAATGTCAGGAAGGTGTAAAATAGGAAACAGGAAGATGTGTAGACACAGAAGGGACAGGAGCAGGAGGATAGAAAGACATAGTGAAAGTCAGAAGGTTGTCTAAGGGAAGTAGATAGGAAGAACCTACCTTTTCACTACTGGGGTTAGAGAAGCTTCTTCAGATGCAGGTGGATCCCATTCTTGGACTTCAACACAATTCCGGGAACTGGGAAGGGAATCCTGGTTGGGTCTGGTGACAACTCAAAGCGGAGCAGGATCAAGGCCACAGCTACCTTCAGCTCGATCATAGCAAACTGCTTCCCAATGCAGTTCCTGAGCCAAGGAGAGACATCTAAGAGTAGCCAACTTTAGACTTCATTCTGAGCTGGGAAGACATTGGCACTGAGCCTTCCTTGATGGGGCCTAGCTCCCATTCCTCTGCTTACAGGTCACATTCTTCTATCTCCACTTTTGTAACATAATACTTTGACTTTTTGGTCTCCTTTCCAGACAGCAGCCATGGCTCTACTTAGACTCTGTGATCTCTCTATCACAGGTAGGACAGAGCCCAAATGCCTTTGTTACCATTTTAACCCCTGTATGGGCTGCTGGCTTAGCTAACTTTACCATTACAGATCCACTTCCTAGCTGAAGTTACTATTATTGGGATCACTGAGCATGCCTTCCCTTCACCTCTGCCTGCTCACATCCTCAAGTTTCATTTGCAGTGAACAGACTGCCCTCATCCCCTCTTCCAGTTTTCTTCTTTCCCTGTCCCCTGGGAGAGTATTAGGATTCCATTCAAGGACACATTGCAGTCCAGGGCCTAGGGTAGTACCAGGATTGTGGGAAGAACAAAAACTATTCAATGAATGAAAGAGTGAATGAATAAATTAATTATGTTTTCACTTACAGCTATTTATTTGTGTGCATTTCTGCCCTTGATTGAAAAGTCTGGGAGGCATGGAGAGTATCTCTCAGGTCTGTGTTGTCATCTCCCAGACAAGACTTGGCACACAGAGCACACATTCAATAAATATTTTTGTAGTGGAATTATATGAATTGAATTGAGTAAAACGCAATAAAATAGAATGGAATCAAATCAAATTAAATATTAGTTCTGGCTTCTAAATTCAGCTACCCAAGACTCTACTGCTTTCTAGGGTTTACAAGAAGGAATCATTTCAGAGGAAACCAAATTCTGGAAAGCTAATTTGTTCAAGGATGGTATGCTGAAGGACAGATGACTATGACTAACCCATTGAAGAACTAGAAGAATTATGGATTCACCAAAACCTTTCTATGCTAAACACAATGTTCATAGCAATTTGTATTTCACAGAATGATTTCAGTAGCCTTTGATATTTTCACAGTAGCCATTTTGATTGTATTTGTCTCATTGGAACAGCAATTTCCCATGTATTTTATAAGTTACACACCAGGAACCTTTCAAATTTTAAGTTTCATATACAATATCACAGGTGTGCTCTCAAAACCAATATATTGTTCTTATTTTTATGCTTCCTTTCTTTTTCCCCCACCCCCTACCTCTTTTTTGGTCACCTTTGAACTATGTAGACTCTGTGTTATTTTGTGGTGGATAGACCCCACTCCATATGAAAAATTTTGCCAAATAGAATTTTTTTCCTGGGACTGTGAACACTAACTGACAATTTTTGTTGGGATAGCCTGAAACACAGAGGTGACTGAAATTGGTATATACTTCTTTCAAAAGGCAACCATAAGCTTTCAAATATATGGGTTGAACATTTGGGACATACATATGGAATTTGAAACCCATGCAAAGATTTGTTTCAATGGGAAGGCAGATTATTGAAGTAAGTAAGAAAGGCAGTGGACTTGATTGAGAATGATTAGGAAGAGAGAAACCCAATTCTAAAAATTGAGACAATTGAGAAAAGCAGAACTCCAGAAATGGGAAAATCCCAAGATAGCCTATCTTGGAAAGTCCTAGTTCTAGATAAGGAAAATACCAGAATACACTGAATTTGGAAAACTTGGCCATTCTGAATGTCATGGGCCATTGGGAGAGAGCAGTGGGAGGAAAGTCTCCATGGCTTGCCCTGAAATTCAACTTCTCTTTTGTACACTTGCACACACACAAGCCCCCCTTCCCACAAACACCAACACTACCAGGCCTAGCCAATGCTGTCACCTATGGACATCACTACCGTTGGGGTACACACCCAGAAAACCTTTCTGCATTTCCATACCAGAATGCCTTCTCACCTTGGTCCTCCTGAGAAGGGCAGGAAGGCGTGGCTATGTTGGTCTGAGCCTGGTGCAAACCGGGAAGGATCAAACACCTGCAAAACAAACATGGGAGCCAGAGCCAGAACAACTAGGAGTCAAGCTTTTCCTTCTAACCCATGAAGGGGCAAGACTCTAAGAGGTGGAAGTTTGAAGAGGTGTTGTTCTTGAGAAATCATCCCATCCCTGTTTCCCAGGGTCTCATACCTCTGGGTCAGACCACACTTTTGGGTTGTGGTGGAGAGCGTAAATATTTGGTGAGACTCTGATTCCTGTGGGCAAGTTAGAGACAGAGAAAAGAATGACATGCTTATGGGATGTCAAGTTGGTACTTTAGCCAGTAAAATGGATGTGGATACACAAAATGACTGGATGCCACAAACCAAGAGAAGCAAGATAGAATCCAAAACTGACTGTAGTAACCCAAGAGATACAGTGACTCATTCTATCTTTACAACTACCATCCATGGAAAACATTTATTTCCTTTTTTAAAAAATGAGGCAGTGGAGGTTCAGAGAAACTGGGCAACTTGCCTAAATCGTACACCTAGGATGTAGGAGTGCAGAGATTCATATCAATGGGAGGTGAGCCAACAGACAGCCTCTGACCATGGCTATGGTCTCACAATTGGTCATTAGCTGCTCTCTGCTATCGTCCTGAGGATTCCTTTGAATTTAGACCCCAGCTGACCCATGACACTGGATTTCCTGATCGTCATTTGCTGTGAAAACCCAGAATGAAAATCACATCTACACTCCTCTTCCCTGATTCTCTCTTGAGCCCTTGTACATTTCAGTGAATTAGGATTTTAGAGCTGAAGAAACCACATTCTAACACTAAAATTTCCTGTGGAGAAAACTCAGTGGATTGAATCAATATCATATGAACTAACATATGCATACTTCATGGAGTCTCTGGGTGTGCAGCCTTAAACTAGTTCTGCTAACTAAAACGTTAAAAGATTGAGTTCATCCGGGATTGCCTTGGAAGAAAGGCCTTGTGATTTACTTCTGAAAAACCAATCATTGAAAACCCTATGGAGCTCAGTTCTATTAGACACACATGTGGTTGCCATGAGTGGGGAGGGGTGTCAACTCATGGCAACTGGTGGTGGTGGGTGGATATAGTTCCTGGAATTCAGGTGAGTGATTGTGATGAAATTCATACCTTTGGGTAAGGAACGTCCATCAGGGAAGGTGATGGGCTTGCTGAGCAGCCGGCCAATGCTTGGTACTGGAGGGTATAATCGCAGAGCTTCCTTGATGCACATGGTGGTATAGGGCATCTGCTGTAGGTCATTCCTGAGAAGAATCCCAGCCTGAGGAGCATGCAGGCCCTGGATAGCCCAGGGGTTTTTCCTTTACCGAGAGCCAGAGCTCTCCTGTCTCTTAAATATGTACCACATGATGAAGGTTCTATTCCCCAGGAGGTTCTGGATCTCTTCCCGGCAACTCTGCTGATGCTTGGGGTGCTTAGCCAGGGCATAGAGGGTCCAAGAGATGCCACTGGCTGTGGTGTCATGGCCCTCAAACATAAAAGTGTCCACTTCAGCACGGAGGTCCTTGTGGGATAAGCTGGTCCCATTCTCCATCTGTGGGAAGCCCCGAGAAGAATACAGAGTTTACCCCTAGACCCAGATCTTCTAGACAAAGCCTAGTTCTTTCCCATACTCACTTTGGCACATAGGAGAATGTCCAGGAAATTCAAATGCCTCTTCCTCCTGATCTTTTCCAGCTCTCCCTCCTCCTGCAGTCGGGCCTTTCTCAGCTTGATCACTTGATCTGGGCCATGAAAATGGTTTACAATGGAAGGTAATAACTCTGGGCACAGCAGACACAGACACTCACAGCAGCCACATTAGTCATAACTGTCACCATTCTGGGCATCAACTCTGACTGAGGTGGAGCTCAGGATAAGTGTGGAATTGGCTATGGGTTGGAAGTGAATGCTCTAGCACCAGTAAATTGCTGGTCAGGACACCCTCACTAGCAGAGCCATGGAGGCTGTTTGTGTGTATCCTGGGATGGGGTCTCATCAGCCATCACCAAGTGTGATGACACATGTAAACCTCTGGCACTGTTCCTGGCACACAATATCTCCATGCCAATCTACTGCCCCAGTGTTGTACCCACCCCAGGTGTGTACCAGGTCCTACAGGAGCTCTAAGTGTTCTGGCCAGAGAGATAAAGTTGAGTTCCTTTGTTCTGGGCCTTAGTGGAAGAGGGAGGCTGACTGGGAGAGGAAACCAGAACCTGTGTACTGATGGATAACTTGACTGGCATGGTGGGTCAAGCGGCCATCAGGGGTCAGTCTATAGATGATATCATTCTGGTAGAAGGCATTCCTCACACGGGAAACCACCAAGTTGCTCATGGCCCCAATGGCCTGGATATAAGAGTGGAAGTTCCTGAAGGCAGAGGATGCAGAAGACATTAGATGGGAGGGAGACCTCTGAGGTGGAGTGGGGATCTGGTTGAAGGTATATTAAAAAATCAGGGACAGGCACCACTGAAACATCCATATCTTCTGGTCTTAACTCTTGTGGTCCCCAACCCTTGATAAGGTAACATGAGTAACCAGGTTTCACTTTATGTGTCTCGTGTCCAGATAGAATCTTGCTTTGTATTGAGATGAGCACACCAGATGCTCCACCTGTCTGTCAGGTAAGTCCACAGCCAGTTGGTACAAACAAGGACCCTAAGCTTAAGATCTTTACTAACCTGTCCACCTGGACACTGCCTTGATAGCTGAAGGCGCACTTCATGATGGTTTCCAGGGTCATCAATGAGACGTGTTCAAAAATCTCCAGATATGAGTCCTGGGTGGTAAGCTTCTCCCACTTGTCCTGGAAGGAGGGTGACATTGATTCTACTCAGACTCTTCCAGGAGGCCCTTGCTAACCAGGCTAGACTCTCTTCTTTGTCTCCCTGGATGTCCTGTAGGAAATTACTTGCTTTGTAAAGCAGATAGCATTGTACCAAAGTGAGACTGGAAAGCAAATATAATTAAAGAATCATCTCATAATAGTCTAAATCAGCTTTTAAATTATGGAAAACTTATGGTGGTAACTTATGGTAAACACTTACTGGAAAACACTTCTTTCTGGGTTCTTAGAGTAGGAGGACTCTTTAGTTCTGAGAGCTGAGGTAGACCTGAGGGGCAGGTTGCACCATACTTTTATCAATCAAAAGTGTCAATGCAAGATAAAGCTTAAGGGGTCAGGATGGGATTGATCAGGGAAAGGATATTGGGGGCTTAAACTCCTTTTTGAGCAATTTTTTTTTTCTTCCCACTGAGCCAACTTGGGTGACAAATCAGAGTTCTGATGCAAAGTGATGGAATGATAGAGTCTGGGCCATGAGAATATAGAGCCAGTGTCCATTTCTCTATGGGGTGGCTCAAATTCATGTACAAGTCCTAGGCCTCAGGCCAGAGATAAGTGACATTCTGGATGTCCTCTCTGCCACTGAAGATGGTATTGACTAGGCCACCCAATTGCAACCCTGCTGTCCAAGAGGCCTTGACCACTCCTTCGTCCATGGTGGTGAAAACATGAAGGTAGGTGGTGAGGAGATCTCTGCATAGACCCTTGCCCTGTCTTTTTGGATGATGAGCAAAGTGTGGATCTAAAATAGTGGCTGGATCCTCTCTCATCCTATCTATTTTGGAGAAGCCTAATTTCACTTTACAGTAGTGCTCTGAGAGTCTGATTTTTGGTAAGTGCCAGAGGAGTTTTCAGTCAATCAGGAGAGGAATTTTTTTTAATACTAATATGACAACAGAGCTTCTTTCTACATGCTGGAGAACCAGTGTATTTGGGCAAGTATGAAAGTGTGTGTAGGAGTGCATGCCTGTGCATATCTACCAAGTATGTCTTGATGTATCTAAATATGTGTGTATGTATGTCAATAGGTTTGTCTGAACACGTACCTTAGTGTGTCAGTGAGCACATGTGTGTCAGAGTGTAGGAATCACATCAAAGTTAGTTCTTTGTTGTTGTTAAGTGCCGTCGAGTCGTTTCCGACTCATAGCGACCCATGCACAGCAAAACGAAACACTGCCCGATCCCGCGCCAGCCCCACAATCCCTGCTATACTTGAGCCCATCAT